AGAGTGTTTCTTGAAAGATAAATAAGGTTGCTTCGATGCTGGAGTAGCCCACACTTAACATGTGACTCCTGGCAATACCTAATTTGGGGTTCTAAAATATGAAGCTCAGCAAAGAGAACTTTTATTTTTTTTCATTTCTAATACTTAGAAAATTTAAATGGATGTTCACTCATGTCTAATGCTAAGGAAGTCCTCTTTATCCCTTGCTAACACGATTATGGTAAACAAGGAAAAAGCTGTTCTCTGAAACATTTTTATGTATCACAGTATGAAAAGTTTTAGGGATCCTGAGGAAAATGAGGTTTTTTTTTTTTAACTGTTTGTTCCCCACACATACCTGGGTAAGTTCTTGCTTCAGTTTCTAAGGAATACACTGGGCAATAGAGAGCGGTATGCTTCATTCGTTATAGTACTTTTACTTCTGACACTTCTCTGCTTTCATTCTTTGACCTATCTCTTCAGCTGAAAATAAGTCCTCTAGTAGAACTCTGATAAGCACAATTCCTTCATATAGACATGACTATTATCATTTTTATGTATTATATCTTCTGGAATTTAAAAATTATAAGGGAAATGTTTTGATCCTACTATGATCAAGCAGATTTTTTTGGCCTATCAATGGAAGTGTGCATGCATATGCCTGTGCACACGCGCCCGCATTCATGCACACACATGCCCGCACACACGCACCTACCTCAGTTCTTTAAGAAGTTGGTAAGGTATTGTGGGAGTGCTTTCTTTTTTTCTTTTGTTCCTTTTTTGGCTGGACAAACCTTTGGATTTCTTTTATCCTTTTGTTCTGTACCTTCATCTTCCAATGTTTGGAGCAAAGGCTCTCAGTGACTTGCATAGAGTCAGTGTGTCCTGCCCCTTGACAGAAGGCCATCATTCATACAAGGGCTTCTTCAGTTTTCCCCTTTTCAGCTGTGGTAGTGTAAAAAACATGTTCTAGTGGGAAAGATCCGGTTTGTTTTATAATATTTAAGTATTTGCAATATTTCATAAGAACTAAGCAGCAGAGAGGAAGTTGAGAGGATGAGGTATCAGTGGTGACTCTACAAATCGAATATTTAGATTTTTGGTATGTAATACTTAGGCTTCCTTGCCCATCTCACATTGAAGAGCTTTGAAGAAAGATCCCAGCTTAGTCCAGTGCTTTACACCTATAATCTCAGCACTTGGAGGCTGAAGCAGGAGGATTTTGAGTTCCAAGTCGGTCTGGGTTACATAGTGAGATTATTGTCTCATAGCAACCAAAAAGGAAAGAAAAGGGGAAAAAAATAACTTTTAAGTATAAATAGACCTTTTCTTCCTTAAAAAAAAAAACAAAACAAAACAACCCACTTTATTTCTGTATTTAATTGACTTCAGTCTTAATCTATAACTTTAGAAAATGAAAGTGTTCAGTTTCGTAGCTAGAGTAGTGCTTGGTAACCACAAAATACACGTTCCCATTGTCACAGAATGTTCTATTGGACACTATTCCTATGACCTATTGGAGGCATTCTCATCTGGCCTTTCAATGCAGTATTAGGAGGACATCACCGATGTTATAAGCAATGCATAAATATAATTTAGAACTTGTCATTAAATCCAAAACACATAAGCATTCTACAGTGTTCAATTTTAAAGTCTTATCCACTGTGACACTTTCTATGCACTGACGGCATCTCTTTCTCTCTGTTTAAACTTGACACTTGCCCCAGATTTCTTCCTGAGCAAAAAGCAAAACCCCACTCAAATATAATACGCTAGTCCACACCAGATCTCATCGCCTAAAAATCTGAGTAGTTTGAAATACATAGTCCTTTATTTCAAATTCCTAACTGATTTTAATCAACCCTCCCCTCACCGGTGTGTTAACGTCTCTCCTGTACTGCGAATAGCTAATGACCATTTTTCTCTGTTGCAGGTGAATGCACAATATTTGCAGCTGTTCGTGATTTAATGGCTAATCTTACACTGCCCCCTGGTGGGCGTCCATAGACACTATTTTTAAACCAGGAAGGCTGACAAATGAAAAACAACACACACAAAAAAAAGGCTGAATTCAGCCTTCAATTTTTAAAAGGAAAAGGACTTTTAAAAAAAAATAAATAAATAAAAACCTTAAGAGCTAAATATTCTAAACTGGCAAAACTTTTCAGGGTGCACTTCTTTCATCAAAAAGACCATCAATCTTTTGTATAGTGAACTTGTATAGTCTGTTTAAATGCGACACATTTCAAACTAGGTAACAAATCAGTGTCCGCTTGCCAGTAATAGATTTAATATTCTGTTTTATACTATAAAGTAATGAAAATGCCAAACTTGTTTATTTAATTGTTTTCTTATGTTTTGGGTATAATGGTCTTTTTTGATTTTTGAGGTTTTTTTTGTTTTTTTAAGGCAGGTCTGTCATTTTTGAATACTGTAAAACTGTGACAAGCTTTCTATTGAAGTTGTATTTTAATATGACTGCTTTGAATCCTTACACAGAAATGTTTTGGGAGCTGTTAAACATATCCCAAAGAAGCAATATTGAATAAAACTAGGATGTAAAAGAGACACTCACTGGTGTGTGTAAGCTCTCTAGAGTTCTTAGGGCCTCCCTTCATCTTTAACCTGGTGGGGCCAGTCACTTTTTTAAATTACGTATGTCTGAAATTTGACCAAAAACATTTTTTGTTTTAAGGTTAATGTAGTTTCTTCAGACATTCCTAACTGGTGATAACATTTAGCACCTTGGTTGTTTTTCAGTATAGGATTTGGGTAAAATGAAAGAACTTTGTCTTTGAAAAGAGACAGTAAGTGATTTATAATGATCAAGGATCTCAAATAATACAGTTATTCTCATGTGTGAAGAAATGGGAACCTTTTTGTTAGGAAAATGTCATGTAAAGGATACTTCTGCATACAGCATTAACTAGGAAGCAAAGAACTTGAATGCTCTAGTTTGCATGAAGTTTCAGTGACATTTCTTTATCTTCTTACCTTCCCCAACACAATTGGGATTGTTCTGAGCAATCTCAATTTAATCAATTGTCAGCAAAGCAATAGGATATTTTGCTGGACACAACCTGGTCCAGTCCACAGTGCAGGGCCTGTCTAGGGTCCAGTGGAGTTTCTGGCACTGGTACCTCTCAATAGGATTTCTTTCTAGAGTACTATACTGTCTCTTACAGCCAGTCAGGACTTTTTAAGCTTTGATGAATATTATCTGATTCAAATGTCTTCTGATAACTTGATGTGTTATTTGGAGCAGTTTTTTTTGTTTTTGTTTTATGTGTTTTAATGATAATCATGCTGAGTTATATCTAGCCAATATAATTAGTCCTAGATGAAATTTTAGATGTTTGTCTGATTCCATTTGAAGATAATTAATTGAGATTCTAGAACTATAACCATCAGATTCTGGTTTTAAGCATCTCACTGCAACTGTATCATATATGCTCAACTTTGCTTGAATCTTCGTTTCCAGTCAGAGTTGAGGCCTTCTTTGTCTTCTGTGTTTCATTTTTGCCTTCATCTCCTGCTTTTCACCCAACTCTGACACTTTTCCAGAGTAGGTGACTAAACTTTTATTCTTCCTTTAACCTACTAACCCTTTTCTCCTTCTGTTTTCAGTTCTCTTCACAGTGGTAATCACATGGGTTTGGCAATCTAAGATGGCTTGATCAGGAGTCAGCCCTTTTCTATTGGGAGCTGAATCCTATCTTTCATGTAGAAATCTACATGTATATACAAGAAATGTATTTTTTTCTGCAGGATATTGTTTCGAATAATTTTATTAATAGAATTCACTTTTCAGGTATTTTCTCTTTTAAGTGGTTTTGAAATGTTAATTGCATTTTTATACATGATGCATTCAATGGCTACTTTTTCTTAATTATAACACCTTTGAATGCATTGTGTAAATCAAGTAAGATAGGATTCAATGAACAGAATTTGATTTTTTTAATTTTTTTTTATTGCGAAAAGAAGAAAAAAAAACATAAACAAAAAACAAGCAGAATTTGATTTTGATTTAAGAGTAAACCAGTGAATTTGAATTTTGGTATCATGCTTGGTACTTGGAATCGGTATATACTTTATTAAAGCTTGGAAATACTTAGCATTTGAATCGTAACTTTCATCACAAACCATGTCTTTTGCCTCTTTTGTTAACCAGGTTCAATCAAAGAAACTAGATTCCATAATGGTTTTTCTCTAGTAGGTGGTTTGACTTTAAGGTGTTTTCAATGTGATTTTAGTATTTACAGTAATAAATAAAATTTATACAAGTTTCAGAGAACTAGCACCTCTCTAGTTAATTTTGGTGAAGATATTTTGGGTTGTAGTTTTGGTTTAGTATTAGTTTAACCCTGAAAGAAGACATTGGCCCTGATCTGCCCTTTTCAAAATGTCATTTTAAAATGTATAGAAGGCCTTTTAGAGTTAGGAAGAAGGCGATAACTTGGTCAGAGTATGGCCAGTTATTAACTGCAGGAGTTGAACCTTGTTTAAAGATTAGCTGGGTTAAAGGTAGGCATAAAGTTTTGTCTGCCATGTTTTGTTTTTTCTCCAAAAGAAATACCAATTACATTATTTTCTTTTTCTTCTTTGTTTTCCATTAAAAACTTCCATGTCTTGTTTTTTTCTCCAAAAGAAATACCAATTGCATTCTTTTCTTTTTCTTCTTTTTTTTCCATTAAAAAAAAAAAAAGACAGAGTTGTTTCCATGTTGCTCAGGCTCACCTTGAACCTTCTAGGTTCAAGTGATTCACCTGAGTACTGGGAAGACAGGCGTTCTTCTTCTTCTTCTTCTTTTTTTTTTTTTTTTTGGTTTTTTTGAGACAGGGTTTATCTGTGGTTTTAGAGCCTGTCCTGGAACTAGCTCTTGTAGACCAGGCTGGTCTCGAACTCACAGAGATCCGCCTGCCTCTGCCTCCCAAGTGCTGGGATTAAAGGCGTGCGCCACCACCGCCCGGCCTTTCAAATGTTCTTAATACAAAATTTATACTTTTAAAATTTTTAAGAAAACTTATGAAAAATGAGAGAAGGATAAATGTTAATGTAGGGTTTTGTTGAAGTTTTCATTTGCTTTGATGGGATGGCGTATTTGGATTTGCTTTGGATGGGTTTAATACTGAGGTTAGTAAGACCAAATTAAGAGATACCTGCCTGCACTGTATTTTGAGTCTTCAGATCACCACATCTGGTCTCTTTTTTATAAATTGTCCCCACTTTCAACTAGCCAGTGATTTGATAAAATTCTTTGTCCAGTAATGTAAACTGATGGATAAAAGGGCATATTTACGTCACTATATCGTGAGAACTAGCACTTACCAAGAGCTTACTGTATGCCAGGCATCATACTAAGTGTTTCCATGTGTATAAATGTCTCTCGTCACACTGTGAGGTAAGTATTAATAACCTTACAGATGATAAACAGAGGCACAAAGAAGTAAAGTAATTTATTCGGATTAAAACTAGAATTAGCTAAGATCAAACTACAAAAACTTGGTAGTTTGAACCCAGAACTAGTGCACCTTAACACTACCTATGTTGTGAGTCTTAGAAAGCCTTCTCTGTTTACAGCCTTCATTCAAGGTCTTTTGATTACACACAATTTCAACACGTTTTCCAAGCTAAAGAACTTCACTAAAAGCATCTAAAACAGTGACTTTTTCTCACATTATATTGATAATCTAATGTATTCTGACAGCTGAAATAACCGTGGTGTACATTTTCTGAAGGCTTCAGCTTGTGACTGTGCAGCCCTCCTTCCAAATCCAGGAAACACGTTATCTACATTTGTCTCGCCAGGTGCTCCAATTATGGAGATTCTGGCCCTAGTGTCACTTTAGCACGTGCCGGGGAGCACACAATAGAATAGACCTGCACATCAGTCAGATGGCAGGCATGGTCTATTGATGTCCAGGATTTTCTGCAGTTGTTCTATGGCGTTAGGAACTAGTTAATTTTCTAGAATTGCATAATGCAAGGAAATATGTCATTCAAGAAATGTGCCTTGAGTACTCCATCTTTACAATTTAAGGAGTCAAAGCAGGAATCTGCACATCATGAGTGGTTAGAGGGCTAGCAGGATTTTTGGGGAAATGAGAAAGTCTAAGGGCTTTAATCACAGAGGTTGCATCTGAATGTTTCAAGTCCACAAACTTTAGGTGGTTCCTTTAAGAAGTGGAGGAGCTGCAGCTTCCCGGATGTGGAAGAATGGCCCGCCTCTACCATCTGTCACAAATTGTATTGTGGTACTCAGTGACGCTAAGCAACACCAATGGTGGGGAATAGTTTCTGGGTGGGGCTGCGCCTGCGCCGCCTGGAAGCTCCTCCAACGCTTGCGCTGTAGGAACTTCCCAGGGTTCCCTGCGCATGCGTACCGCTGCCAGGCCCGCCACCTTTCTCAGGTCGGGGCTGAGACATGGTGCTGTCAGAACTAGCGGTGCGCCTTAATTGCGCTGAGTACAAAAACTGGGTGAAGGCTGGACACTGCCTGCTGCTGCTGCGCAGCTGTCTGCAGGGCTTCATCCGCCGCGAGGTCCTCTCATTCCATCGCGGACTGCTCGCTGCAGTCCCTGGCCTTGGTCCCCACGCCATCTGTCGCGGTGGTTCCCGGTGCAGCCCGCGCGCCCGCCAGGTAAGCTGCTGGCCCCGGGGCTGGGACAATTCCCAGTCTTTCCCCAGTTCCTTGAACTTGTCTTTTTTTTCGAGGGGCGGGGCTGCTCCTGGGTGTTCCTATTTCCTCTGCCCAGCACGCCTGGGTCTTGTCTCATGTCTGCCCCCTGTAGTTTCAGCCTCAGTGTGTGGTGTGCACAGAGTGGAAACGTGAGATCTTGAGGCATCATGTCAACAGAAATGGAGATGTGCACTGGGGAAACTGCCGGCCTGGCCTCTGGCCTGTGGACGCTTGGGAGGTAGCCAAGGTAAGCACTTGCAGCCTGGAGGAAAGCCGAAGGCAGGTCACCTGTTTCCCCAGGGCAGAGGATGGTTTATGGGTGAAAGCTGAGACTTTAGAAACTACAGGTACAAAGAGATTAGTTGGCCTAGTGTTCTAGTGGTTAAAGGCTGTTAGAGTGGACCCATCCCAGTGCACTAAAATAGAATCTTTTAGCTCTTCCTTCAGGCCTTTGAGCTTTGCTTCTTGAAAGCTATAGTAAAGATTTCAATAAGAGATGCTGATGCAAGACGTGTAGTGAAGCCAAATGCTGTGGCTCATGGCTGTAATTCCACCACTACAGAGGCCCAGGCAGGGTTGCTCAAGTTTGGGGATATCCTAGGCTATGTTGTTTAAGACCTTGTCTCAAAAGAAGGGGAAAGAAGGTACAGACCAGTGGACGTGGAAGAAGAGATAAGGTGTGCCTTACAGCAAGATCATTAAAAGGCTCATTTTGGCCATGGAGTGCCTAGCTAAGGTATAAAATTTTAGAAGGTAGAACTGTGGTAAGTTAGGAGGTAGATGATGTTAGGCCTGTCTTTAGATTTTGGCGCTGTGACTTACTGCCTGGGCTGATTGGGAATTTGTTTTGATTTCTTGATGTTTCCTGGAAGCTCAGTAGTGAGTGGAGGGATGAGTCAGAAGTAGTAGCTTCCTAACACAAGTTGACTTTAGGAGTTAGTATATGGACAAGTACACAATTGCCAGGTGGAAGGGGGGGGCATTGCTGGGACTGCAGTTAACATGTTGAGTCCACCTCTGTTCTCTCCCTCCCTGTCTTTTCCAGTTTATTAAGACAAGATCTCATGTAACCCAGGCTGGCCTTGAACTCCTAACCATCCTGCTTCCATCTCCCAAGTGTTTTGGACTACATATATGTACTACTATACCCAATAGTCCTTTAAAAAAATAAGATTAGAAAGTTTCTATTGGGGGCTAGAGAGATGGATCAGCGATTAAGAGCAGTGGCTGTCCTTCCAGAGGACCTGGATTCAGTTCGCAGCATTCAAATAGCAGCTCACAAATGTTCATAACTCCAGTTCCAGGATACACAACACTCTCATACAGTTATGCATGTAGGCAAAACACCAGTGCACATAAGTAAAACTTTAAAAGAAAATTTTCTATTGGGCTGGACTCGGTGGTGCCTGCCTGAAATCCCAGCACTGGGGAAGTAGAGGCAGACAGATCTATTGAGTTTAAGGCCAGCCTGGTCTACATGGCTAGACTACATAGGGAGACCCTGTTTCAAAAAACAAAAAACAAGAAAAGTTTTATATGTCAGTGTGTGAGTGTATGCCATCTGTATTCTGGTGCTTACTAGAGCCAGACGAAGGAATTGAATCCACTGGAGCTGGTGTAAGAGGTGGTTGTGAGTCTCCCAAGTTATGAGCATAGTCAGTACATGGCAGATGTCCTCGAATATGAACCCATGGGATCAGCGACTTGGAGACCCATTCAGGCTGGTGGGTACCAAGTGGTCATGGAGCTGTTTGATTCCATTAAGGATGAGGAACGGTTGGGTCATGAGGATGGGTAACTTCTTCCTCTGGCCTTCTGTTCCTGGAGCTCTGTATTCCTGCACTTCTTCTGGAAGAACAGTAAATCCACTTAATCACTGAGCCATCTCTCCAGCCCCATCCACCACCATGACTTTTTATTGCTGCAATAGTCTTTCCAATTTTTGCCTTTCCCTCGAGCATATGGGGAAAAACACCTTTGCCTAGAGAAATAAAACCCTTCCCTTTATTGTGACTGGCTTGGACCCATTTGGACTCTATTATGGCTTTCATAGCTTTGGAGCCCTTCTGAAACCTGTGCCACCTCTCTTGCCAGCCTTTCCTCCCCTTGGTTGCTGGCCACTTGCAAACCACTTAGTTCAACCTTGTGTAACTCCATCGTCTCAGTTCCTGGGTTCCCTGACTTAGCATCCTTCATCTACTCTACCTTAACACCCCATTTTCTACCCTCACACAATCCCTGTCCACACAGAAAGGCTAAGAATCTAACTTGGGCTTGCTTTTGCCATTCTTCCTCAAACACTTGACCTTGCTCTTTTGTCTTCCACTGCTTCTAGGTACTGGGCAGTCTCTCTTCTGCTTGACTTTATCACGGTTGCCTAGTTCTCACTGCCCATTGTTATGATAACTCCTTTGCAGTTATTTTCATTGTTTTCTTTCTCTGAATCTGCCTGGTCTAATTCAGTCCCAAATGACTCTGGCGCTCCCTGTACTTACTGCCAGCCTTTGGAATAGCAGTATGCACATCCTGCAGGAAGCTTTGTGACTGCTTCCTGACTGGAGTGTTTTCTTGCAGTGGAACATATCTTTTATTTAGAGCTCTGATTTAGAAGAACTTTTTTCTTTTGAGACAGGGTCCTCTGTGTATCCTTAGTTGGCCTAGAAGTCTATGTATATCAGCTGGCCTCAAACTCACAGACCTGCCTGCCTCTGCTTCTTGGGTGCTGGAATTAAAGGCGCATGCCACTACTCCCAAATGAGAGTAATTTTTCATGTGTCTTCTACTCTAGCAGATGCTCTAGGCCTGTAGCAGGAATGTGCCTTGAGACTCATAGTCTGGTAAAGTTGCTACATCCAGGTGTTAAGTTTGCAGATAGTTCAGGAAAAAAAAGTATATTCAGCATTTGTGCGACTTATTTTAGAAGATTCAGCTAAAGACAGGATGGTGCTACAGTGAAGCCTTCCAGTGTGTCTAATGTCTCAATCCTAAGCTTTCTGTCTACCCCCTGTATGGGACCTACTCACCTCACACCATTGACGTCATAATTGCTGACGCTCAGATTTCTTTATACCATATGCTCAGCACAGTGCTTTTTCTATGCCCACTTAACTTCTCACACCATCCTTTGATGTGTATGACGATACTTAACCCCTAATGACCAACAGAGACGGAGGATTAGGTAGGTAACTGCCTAAGGCCATAAGGTGGTGTTTGAACCTGGCTCTGTTATACTCCAGGTTATGGTGATGGATAGAAGTTTCTCATGTTACTAAGGAACTGTCTACTCTTTAATGACAGGCACTGCAGTTTTACCAAGGAAAAGAGGGGAAAGCATTTATCTTTTTAATATATACCTCTAAGACAGGACAGAAGCTGATGGTACATAGCTTAAATTTCAGCACTCAGGAGACAGAGAAAGTGGATCTCTTTGAGTTCAAGGCTAGCCTGGTCTACATAGCAAGTTCCAGGACAGTCAGGGATACATAGTGAGACTTGTCTCAAAATAACAAAAAAGACAAGAGGCTGGGCATGTTGGCATCCACCTTTATTACCAGCACTCAGTAGGCAGAGTAGGCAGAGGCAGGAAAATCTCAAGAGTTTGAGGCCTCTGTCACGGCTTATCCTCGTCCCGCAAGGAAGACGCGACCACTGGAGCTCTTCTCACTGCAGTTTATTCCAGGACTTTATTCACTTTCTCTCTCTCTTCCCCTCTCTCTCTCTCTCCTTCTCTCTCTCTCTCTGGGCAAACCTCTCCCAGCCCTTAAGTAGGCATGGGCTGCCAATCCCGAACTGCCAAGTGGGCACTGCCCATAGGTTCACGCATATGCAGGCAGTTGATAATCATTGCATGATCATAGCATAGGTCAGGCCTTAGCCATCTCAGGAGTTGATTATACATCTCCATCAGGTGTGATTCCACGCAGCTCGCTAAAGGCCTCCCTGGTTTACATAGTGAGGTTCAAGAAAACCAGTTACATCAGTTATATGTAATATTGCAGAGGGATAGTGCAACCCTTCAATTAGTCCCCTTGCCAAGGCTTAGTATGATATGACCTTTCCAACTTGCATTTTGAACTCATTGCATTCTAGCTTGAAACTTCAGGGAATAAGAGAACATTAGTCATCAGTTGGTAAATGGAGAAAGAATTGGAGGACACTCAAGTGACCTGGTACATCCTCTTACTCTAGGCCTTCATGCCTCGAGGACTGGCAGACAAACGAGGACCTGAAGAATGTGATGCAGTTGCTCTTTTAAGTCTCATCAATTGCTGTGACCACTTCGTGGTTGATCGGAAGAAAGTCACAGAGGTAAGAGCTGTCGGATTCAGAACTGTCCACTCCATAGTGGTCAATACTAGGAAGGTTGAAATGAAACTCTGATGATAAGCCAGCCATGTAGGCATAGCATAGCAGCACTCAGAATGGCAATAGCAAAGAAAGACTTCAGTCCAAAATTGGCATCCCTGAACAGCTCTTGGGTCTCATGTCATATGTACCTGCTGTGATGTCCAAGAACCTGAATATGAATGTGGTCAAGCACTAACCCTACAGCTCTCTAAAATTAAAGTTTCCTGACAATTTGTTACTGTGCTTGTATAAAGAAAAACATTTAATTGGGGCTGGTTTAATTCATTGTTGTCATGGTGGGAGGCATGGTGGCATGTAGGCACACGTGATGCTGGAGAAGGAGCTGAGAGTTCTACATCTGGATCTGCAGGCAGCAGGAAGTAAGAGTGATACTGCGACTAGCTTGAGCTTCTGAAACCTCAAAGCGAAGTAGTGACACACTTCCTCCTATAAGATCACACCTACTCCAACAAGGCCACACCTCCTAATAGTGCCACACCAAATGAGCCTATGGGGGCTGTTTTCATTCAGGCCACCACAGTGCTGTACATGGAACTGAGATTTATCTTCTCTGTTCTGCCATAAACAAGAGCAAAGTTGTTTTATATATAAAAAATGGGTCTGATATTGAGGAAATGGATCAGTCAGTAGGCAGGCATGAGGACCTCAGTTCAGATTCCAAGCTCCTACGTAGCTGGGTGTGACAGTGTACATCTCTCACCCCGGTACTGGGGAGAAGGACAGAGACAGGGCTTTCTGGGCAGCTTGTCTAGCATAACCAGTATGCTCCAAGTACATTGAGAGACCCTATCTCAAAAAATAAGGTGAAGGGTTATGGAGGAAGATACCCTATGTTGGCATCTGAATTCTACACAGACACAGGATCATACATGCATAGAACACACATATGCAAGACAGAAAAACACAGGGCACTGGGCAGTGGTGACATGTGCCTTCAATCCTAGTGCTCAGGAAGTAGAGACAGGCAGATCTCTGTAAGTATGAGGCCAGCCTGGCCTACAGAGTGAGTTCCAGGACTAAAACTTCAAATAAAAATACAGAGTTAGGTGTGAAACTCAATGATAAAGTGCTTGTAAGGCATGCACAAGGCTCTAAATTCCATCCTCGTTCCCACAATTACAAGCCAAAATAAAACAAACAACGGAAACAACACTGGCCTTCTACAAAATAGCCCTGAGATCAAGTTAGGTAGAAGAAAATATAAGCACTAATGCGCAATGCATGTCAGGGGAGATTGCTCTCCCTGTCGCAGAATTCCAGAAGGTTTTGATTTTCCACTTTATCACCAAACAATAACCCTCACTCATCTTTAATTTTGAGGCCCTTGAAAAGAATGTGTAGAAGTCTTGGGTTATTTATAATATTGGTCAAAAATGATACTATTTCAGCAGCATAGCAGCAAGTGAAGATAAATTGATGATATTAAATCTCCCCCTCCCCGAGATGAACATTTAACATAGTGGTTAATCTCATCTTCTAGCCAAAAACACAGACCATTTGAATTGTCTTTAAATATGTAGTAGCATCGTTTTTCTCATAAACAAAAGTTTATTTTGTTTTCATTATGGTTTCCACATCAGAAATCCCCCTTTACTCAACTTCCTAGCACTGGATGGGATTTGAAAGATTTTGTGCATTTGTGAGTTGTCTGCTGCAGCCTCAGGTTATATCTGGAGCCAGTATACTTGCTCTGTAGCAGGTTGTTTTAAGTCATTTGGGAGAAAAAATATGCAAAAAATTTTTTTAAAGGAAATAAAAACTTTATCTTAGTTAGGGTTTCTATTGCTGTGCTAGTTGCCGTGACTAAAACCAACCTGCTTACACTTCCACAGCACAGTCTATCATTGAAGGAGGTCAGAACAAGAACTCAGACAAGGCAGAAACTCGGGGGGGGGGGGGGGGGCAGAAGCTCATGCAGAGGCCATGGAGGAATGCTGCTTATATAACAGGTGGCACCACCCACAGTGAGGTAGGACATCAGTCAAGAAAATGTACCACAGGCCAATCGATTGGAGGCATTTTTTAGCTGAGGTTACCTTTCCCAAAATGACTCCAGCTTATGTCACAGATATGTGCAAAGACATCTGGGAAAAATGATTTTCAGGGCAAAGGATGGAGATTTCTTTGTATTTCTTGTTTCTTCTTGAGACAAGGTGTCACTGTGTGTGCCTTGAACTCATGATTCTCTTGCCTCCCAAGTGCTGTTATTTCAACTGCATGCCACCATGACTGTCAACCTTTTTGTTTAAAGAGCGATTATTTTTATTTTATGTGTGGGGGTATTGTGTCTGCATGCATATCTGTGTACCATGTGCATGTAGTGCCAGTGGAGGCCAGCAGAGGATGTCAGACTCCATGGACTGAAGGTATAGTCTTTCTTACCTGCCATGGAAGTGTTGGGAGTCAGGTGCTCTTAACCACTCAGCCACGTCTCCAGCTCCTTCTTTGTATTTCTCTACCTTGATTGTTAATTTTGTGTCACTTGGTTGAATAATTCTTTAACCCTTGACAGTCTTCTATACCCAAAATCTGGCTTGCAGACCTACTTTATTAATCCTATCTGAGTTTACAAAATTATAAGTTTATTTTTTTAATTTTTTGTCATTTACTATATGTATATGAGTATTTTGCATACATGTATGTATGTGCACCATGTGTCTACCTGGTGCCTGTGGAGGTCAAAAGAGGGTGTTGTAATTTAAAAAGCAGCACAAGAGAGAAAAGACCACATGGCAGCTGGAGGGGGAGGGTTTGTTAGGGGAAGTGAATGGGAAAATGGGGGAGGGGAGAGACCAGCCTCTGGGAACAAGAATGGCAGAGGAGAAGAGAGAGGCAGAAGAAGAAAGAGGGAGAAACACACACACACACAGAGAGAGAGAGAGAGAGGGGGGGGGTGGGAGGTGGATAGGGCCCATCTTTTAAAAGGGAACATAGCCAATGTGAACAGAAGGTGCTCTTAGTGGCTGCAGCTGAAGATGGATCCATCCTGTCAGGACCTCAAGGGCAGCTAGTACAGATGCCTGAATACTAACAGGGCATCAGATCTCTTGGAGCTAGAGTTACAGAGGTTGTGAGGCTCTGTGTGAGTCCTGGGAACTAAACCTAGGCTCCTTGAAAGAGCAACAAGTGCCTTTTTTGAGGGAAGGGGTTTTAAAACAGGGTTTCTCTGTAGCCCTGCCTGTCCTGGAACTGAGCAAGTAGATTAGGCTGGCCTCAAACTCAGATCCAGCCGCCTCTGCCTTCGAGTGTCGGTATTAAAGGTGTACACCAGCACCGCCTGGCCAAAAAGTACTCTTAACCACCAAGTGCCGTACATTTATTTGGTGTGTGTGTGTGTGTGTGTGTGTGTGTGTGTGTGTGTGTGTGTATGCGTGTGTAGATGTGGTCATGTAACTGTAAGAGGATAACTTTTTTATTTTCGAGACAGAGTTTCTCTGTGGCTTTGGAACCTGTCCTAGAAGTAGCTCTTGTAGACCAGGCTGGCCTCGAACACATGGAGATCCGCCTGCCTCTGCCTCCCGAGTGCTGGGATTAAAGGCCGCCTGGCGAGGATAAATTTCAAAAGTCAGTTCTTTCCTCCCACCTTGTGGGTCCCAGGGCTTGAAGGTTTTCAGGCTTGGCAGTTCCTGCCAAGTTCTAGCCAGTCCCTGTCTAGTTATTTTTAAAACAACTTTTGAATTAGTTGTCATATCAGAATTTCTATCTTTGAAATAAAAAATAAGATCTGGTGACAGTGAGTTCACCCCTCCCATAGCAACAAATCACAAGGTTAGTAAGCTGCTGCTTAAATGGGACATCCATTCTCTACTTCATGCCTATCCCTCTGCCTTCATTTTCCTAGCTGTTTGAACCAGCTTCACTAAGGTGTCACCTGTCCCTTGAGAACATTTCAGTATGTGACTCAACAGAGATTTCACTGCTTGAAAGATGCCCTCGGGGCAGGCACAAATTAAAGGGGCTAAAGGCTTTATTGTATTGTATGTTATTTTAAATACTTGCTAGAGTAAAAGCATGGCAACAGGAAGAGCTGAGCATGCACATGAACTATAAGTAGAGAACATGCTGGGAATGTCTTGAGTCTTTTGAAACAACAAAGCCTGACCCTGGCAAGTCTTGTCCTCCAACAATGTCACACAGCTCCTAATTATTCCCAAACAATTCCCTGTTGGTGGAGGCTGCTCATTTGTTTCCAGCTACTCAGACCTGAAATTTCACTGAGAAATCATATTATTTGCAATACTGTTTGGCCAATAGCTTAAGCGTATTTTTGGCTAATTCTGGTTGGTGTACAATTTTATTATTTATTTATTTTGGTTTTTCACGACAGGGTTTCTGTAGCTTTGGAGTCTGTCCTGGAACTAGCTCTTGTAGACCAGGCTGGCCTCGAACTCACAGAGATCCGCCTGCCTCTGCCTCCCGAGTGTTGGGATTAAAGGCATGTGCCACCACGGCCCTGCAAATTTTTATTTATGACTTTTTATTTGTTTTTGGTATGAGTGCTCCATCTGCATGTACCCCTGCACACAAGAAGAGGGCATCGGATGCCATTATAGATGGTTGTGAGCCACCATGTAGTTGCTCAAAATTGAACTCAGGACTTCCAGAAGAGCAGTCAGTGCTCTTAACCTCTGAGCCATCTCTCCAGCACCCCCTCCCTCCCCCCGGCTAATTTTTTATTTCTTAAATTAACCCATTTCTATTATTTTGTATTTTACCACAAGGTTCATGGCCTACCAGCAAGGTTCCAGCTGGCAGCTTGCATCTTTTTCCTCTGGCAGCTCACTGACTCCACCTACTCTCTATCTCTTTCAACTGGGCTATGTTCTGTTGAGCCATTGGCAGAAAGCAGCTTCTTTATTAACCAATAAAAGTAACACATATACAGAAAGACTTCCCATACCAGTTCCCTAATTGGGGATCAGCTATTCAAACACATGAGCCTGTTTGCGGCATTCTCATTCAATTCATCATACGTTCTACTGTGTGGGTTCCAGGGATTGAATTCAGGCTCTTGGGCTTGGCAACAAACACCTTTACCAGCCCAACTCCGTTTTTTTTTCTGTAGGTAATTAAGTGTCGGAATGAGATAATGCACTCTTCAGAGATGAAAGTATCGTCTACATGGCTTCAAGATTTTCAGATAAAGATCCAACATTTTCTGAATGAATTCAAGAATATTCCAGAGATTGAAGCAGTACATTCCAGAATAGAACAGGTAAAGATGCCTCTACTTAAATGAGTGCTGGGATTATGGGCATGCACCACTATGCCCATCTGAAACTTCATTTAACAGTTCTGGTATACAAACCTAAGGGGTTTAAAACATCCATAGTCTTTTTTGATGTTAAGTCAGGTGTGGTGGTATAAGTAAGTCCCAGCACTTGGTACACTGAGGCAGAAGTATGGCTATTTCAAAGGTAGTCTTTATTACATAGTAAGCTCCTGGGAAGCCTGGGCTACTTAAGAAATAAGGTGAATTTGATGTTTATTTAAACTAAAATATATTTATTATTGTTGCAATACTGATGATAATGCACACACAGATCCTCATTCCCAACAAGCACTCTATACTCCTAGTCTTTATTTTATTCTGTTATTATTTAGAGAGCCTACTTGGGGTAGAACCTAGGGCTGGGCCTTTCACATGGCAAGCACTTTCTCACTGAACTACAATCTCAACCCCAAGCTAAATTTTATAATGTGAACAGAGGAAAAACTGCTGGTATAAAATGTGGAATTAGCAGAGTTTTTTTTTTCTTTAATAACTGTGTGGTTAAAATAGGTCTATCTAGATAATGGTATTTTATTATAAATCCTTCAAGTTACCCAGTAGAATTTCTTTTCCATTAATATTGTTCATTTATTTTGTGTGTATATGTGTGTGCCTGTGTGTCCACGTTGATGTGCACACGTGCATGTGAAGATCAGAGGACAACTCTTGGGAGTCTGTTCTCTCCTTTGACCTTAAGAAATCCAAGAAATCTAAGGTTGTTAGGCCTGCACTCAATTACAGGCTCTCTCTTATTGCAGTACAAGTGGCTGAGGGTGTGGCTTGCTGGTAGGATTGTTATCTACCAGCAGGCAACATCCTCAATTAGTCCCTGAGTTCCATCCCCAAAACTGCAAACAGTGATACATCTCAAGAATGAACTTTTAATGTGAGGATGAATCTTAGAGAAGTTAGAAGAGGAGTTAGATGTGAATATGATCAAAATACATTTTGTACATTTATGAAATTCCAAAAGAATTCATAAAAAATATTTTAAAACCTGAAATTTAAAAAATAATTTGTTCATGTATTTGTGTGGTCACCCCATAGCTGTTGACATCTGACTGGGCTGTTCACATTCCTGAGGAAGATGAACGAGATGGGTGTAAATTTGAAATAGGAAGTTACTTGAGTGTGAGCCAAATCCATGAAATTGAAATGGAATTGCTGAAGGAAAAACTGCAAGATATGTATCTTCAAGCAGCAGAAGAAGAGGTGTTGCCCGAAGAGGTAAAGGAAAGAATGAAGTGTGAGGAGAAAGAAAGATGACAGCCAGAGCAGCAATAGTAGCTCGTTTTGACACTGTTTCTATTGCTGTGATAAACATGATGACCAAAAGCAGCTGGGGGAAGAAAGGGTTAATTTCAGCTTACACTTCATCACTTAGGGAAGTCAGTGCAGGAACCTGGAAGCAGGGACTGAAGCAGAAGCCATGGAGGAGCACTGCTTACTGGCTTCTCTTTGCTTGTTCAGCCTGCTTTCTTATACAACTCAGGCCCACCTGCCCAAGGGTGCTATTACCCACATTGAGTTAAGCCTGGCCTTCCCACATCAATCCTTAATCAAGAAAATGCCCCACAGGCTTGCCAATGGACCAATTTGGTGGGAACATTTTCTCAGTTGTGGTTCCATCTTTCAAATATCTCTAACTTATGTCAAGTTGACATAAAATTCCAGCCAGATCAGACACAGAGAGCCAGGTTTTTTATTTTTAAGTCAAGTGATTTCTTTCTTTCTTTCTTTCTTCTTTTTTTTGTAAAGTTTATTTATTTTTATTTTTTTCCCATGATATTTATTGAGCTCTACATTTTTCTCTGCTCTCCTCCCTGCCTCTCCCCTCCCCACTTCTACCCTTCCCCAAGGTCCCAATGCTCCCAATTTACTCAGGAGATCTTGTCTTTTTCTACTTTCTACTTCCATGTAGATTAGATCTATGTAAGTTTCTCTTAGTGTCCTCATTGTTGTCTACGTTCTCTTAGATTGTGGTTTGTAGGCTGGCTTTCTTTGCTTTATGTTTAAAAAAAGCACCTATGAGTGAGTACATGTGATAATTGTCTTTCTGTGTCTGGGTTACCTCACTCAAAATAATATTTTCTAATTCCATCCATTTTCCTGCAAAATTCAAGATGTCATTATTTTCTGCTGTATAGTACTCCATTGTGTAAATGTACCACATTTTCCTTATCCATTCTTCAGTCAAAGGGTATTTAGGTTGTTTCCAGGTTCTGGCTATGACAAACAAAGCTGCTATGAACATAGTTGAGCACATGTCCTTGTGGCACCATTGATCATCCTTTGGATATATACCCAAAAGTAGTATTATTGGGTCTTGAGGAAGTTTGTTTCCTAATTTTCTGAGAAATCGCCACACTGACATCCAAAGGGGTTGTACCAGCTTGCATTCCCACCACCAATGCAGAAGTGTTCCCTTTTCCCCACAACCTCTCCAGCATAAGTTGTCATCAGTGTTTTTAATCTTGGCCATTCTTACAGGTGTAAGATGGAATCTCAGAGTTGTTTTGATTTGCATTTCTCTGATGACTAAGGATGTTGAACATTTCCTTAAGTGTCTTTCAGCCATTTTAGATTCCTCTGTTGAGAATTCTCTGTTTCGGTATGTACTCCATTTTTTATTGGATTATGTGATCTTTTGATGTCCAATTTCTTGAGTTCTTTGTATATTTTGGAGATCAGCCCTCTGTCTGATGTGGGGTTAGTGAAGATCTTTTCCCATTCTGTAGGCTGTCGTTTTGTCTTGTTGACCGTGTCCTTTGCTTTACAAAAGCTTTTCAGTTTCAGGAGGTCCCATTTATTAACTTTTTCTCTCAGTGTCTGTGCTGCTGGGGTTCTATTTAGGAAGTGGTTCCCTGTGCCAATGTGTTCAAGTATACTTCCACTTTCTCTTCTATGAGGTTCATTGTGGCTGGCTTTATGTTGAGGTCTTTGATCCATTTGTACTTGAGTTTTATGCATGGTGATAGATATGGGTCTATTTTCATTCTTCTACATGTTGATATCCAGTTATGCCAGCAGCACTTATTAAATATGCTTTCATTTTTCCATTTGATAATTTTTGTTTCTTTATCAAAGATCAGGTGTTTGAAGAAGGTGTGTGGATCCGTGTCTTCTATTTGGTTCCATTGGTCCTCCTGTCTGTTCTTATGCCAGTACCAGGCTGTTTTCAGTACTGTGGCTCTGTAGTAGAGTTTGAAGTCAGGAATTGTGATGCCTCCAGAAGTTCTTTTATTGCCCAGAATTGTTTTGACTATCCTGGGTTTTCTTTGCTTTTCCAAATGAAGTTGAGTACCCGTTCTTTCAAGGTCATTGAAGAATTTTGCTGGGATTTTGATGGGCAAGTCAAGTGATTTCTAGAAGTATATATTCTCCCAATGTTTACTGACCATATTTTTGTTTTATTGTTTTATTTGGTTTGATTTGGTTTGGTTTTCAAAACAGGGTTTCTTTGTGTAACAGCCCTGGGTGTCTTGGAACTCACTCTGTAGACCAGGCTGTCCTTGAATTAGATATCCACTTTCTTCCTCCTCCAGAGTACTGGGATTAAACATGTGCATTACCACTACTTGTTCTCTGATCATATTTTTTATTTTTACTTTTTTAACATTTGTTTTGGTTTCTTGTTTTTCGAGACAGGGTTTCTCTGTATAACAGCCCTGACTGTCCTAAAACTAGCTCTGTAGACCAGGCTGGCCTCAAACTCACTGAGATCTGCCTTCCTCTGCCTCCTGACTGCTGGGATTAAAGGCATGCCACAACCTGGCAGCCTGATCATATATTTTAACGGGTATTTTCATTTAGCACAAATTTGATAACTTAGTAAGTGCCCCAAAGTGGAATTGTGGCATAAGGGTTAAAACAGAACTCAGGTCAGGATGCTTGATGGGTTATCAGTTCTCAGGGGATACACCCCCCCCCCAAAAAAAGGGGGGGGAAAGTTACTATTGAGCTACAACTCAAGGATTTAGTAAGAGGTCAGTAGTTGGCCTGGGAAGAAGGATGTTCTTAGCAGAAGTATGAAAGGATAATTTGGGCTGGGCAGTAGTATGGTTATGGAGGAGTGTGGCAAGGTAGGGTGGGACTCTCTTGAAAGATTTTCTGTGCCACACCAAGCTGTTTGGACTTTAGTCCCTGAAATCAGTAGGGTAACACTACTGATTTTTATAAGGTAAAGAGATTTTTAGATTAGCGGATAGTAAGTGTTGGAAATGTGTAGCCCTTCATGTGCAGCTGGTCTGCTGCTTCAGAGGCATTGGTCACTGTACATTTCTAGTTCTCCTTACCCATTTGAGTTGGGAAAGGGGCACCAGGTCTCTCTGTAGAAAAGATAAATATGAATTTTTATGCCTTTTTGTTCAATGGTATAGACAGAAGTTTCTGTACTGCCCAAGTTCTGTAGCCATTCAGTCCCAAAAAAACACAGAGAGGCTTTTATTAATTATAAATTGTTTGGCCTATTAGCTCAGGCTTATTATTAACTAGCTCTTACATCTTAAATTAACCCATTATTCATATCTCTGTTTAGTCATGTGACTTGGTACCTTTTCTCAAGTAAGGCATCTTCTTTCTCTCCGCCTGACTGGTGACTGACTTTGCCTTTCCTCTTCACAGAATTCTTTTAGTCTGTTTGTTCCACCTATGCTTTTTGCCTGGCTACTGGCCAATCACCATTGCATTAAACTAATATGAGTGACAAATCTTTACAGTGAACAAGAACATTATCTCACAGCATTTCCACTTTTTTTCCTTTCAAAACAAGACCCTGAATCTAATCTCCTTTCTTCAGCTTTTTTTCTGACCATTATCCACAACAATTTGTGACTAACATACTAAACAAAGACACACATCCATAATCCATTTTTTGGGAATGTGGGCATAGATTTCTAGTCTGCTTCTTCCTGCTGATTGGGGGGTGCTGATAATCTTATGAGAACCTAAAAAAAAATGTAGGGTTTTGGTCAAGTCCTGACTGTAGTATTCTGTGAGGCTGGATCATCTCAGCCAGCAGTCTTGAAACTGTTCTGGATGTAGAACTGGGCTATCTGTTCCCATTGGAGATTTTTCAGGTAATCTTCCTCAATCAAACCTTATTTTTCTTTTTTTTTAAAGATTTATTTATTTATTTATTATGTGTACAGCATTCCTTCCATGTGTGCCTGCAGGTCAGGAGGGGGCGCCGGGTCTCATCATAGATGGTTGTGAGCCACCATGTGGTTGCTGGGAATTGAACTCAGGACCTCTGGAAGAGCAGTCAGTGCTCTTAACAACTGAGCCCTCTCTCCAGCCCGAACCTTATTTTTCTTAACCCAGAATAAATGCACAGTCTTTCATTACCAGTGGAATCAAAAGCAATACTTCTTCTCCAAAGTAAAATAAATTTTGAAGTCAATGCATTTTTCAAAATATATATTTTGGATTAATCCAACAGCATTTATAATCAAATGTCTTTTAGCAGCTGTTGCTTCTTCCTCCGCAGTCAAACAATTTAAAGACAACACAATAACATACAGTATCCAGATTATCTGTGTATTTTCTTTTTGTTGCATTTTTAAAAAACTGTTTCTTTTTTTAAATTTTTGTTTTTTATGACACGAGGTTTTTTGCGTATCTTTGGGTGTCCTGGATCTCACTCTGTAGCCCAGGTTGGCCTCAAACTAACAGATTTGCCTGCCTCTGCCTATCAAGTGCTGGGATTAAAGGCGTGCACCATTACACCCTGCAACTCTATTTCTTTTTTTAAGGACTTTTCTCTTCCAAGCTTATGTATATTTTTTAAACACACTGTAAACTGTTACAGTACTGAGGATGGAGCCCAGACTTTCTTGTTTGTTTTGAGACGAGGTTTCACTACTAGCACACATACTAAAATTGGGGTGATACAGATGCGAAGATTTTATGCAGATTTGTGAAGCATTCCATATTTAAAAAAATACATACACACGAGCACATGACATGTCTCCAGAAGAAATAAAATGGCACCAGCAGAGGTGGCACACTTCTGTAATCCCAGCACTCAGGAGACAGAGGCAGGGGTATGTCTGTGAGTTTGAGGCCAGCCTGGTCTACAAAACAAGTTCCAGTACAGTCAGGGCTGTTGCACAGAGAAACCTTGTCTCAAAAAAAAGAAAAAGAAATGAGATGACTATAATGTTACCTGTAAAGGAGAGACTGGGATAACTAAGGAAAGATTTAATTAAGAGTATTCACTTTTTAACCTTATATACCCTATTGACTTAGAATTTTGTGTCTGTACATTTAATACTGTTTTATAGATGTATCTTCTACTAGAAATACTTGTATAGGCAAAAAAATCTCAAAAATGTAAGATAAACACTTTAAACTTGAGTTTTGAAGCAAAAAAAATTGAGGTAATAAGCAAACACCCCCTATGTAGTCTTAGAATTAGCTATACTGGAATATGTTTAGTTTGAGTGAAAGGTACTTGTTTTGTTTGTCTTTATTTACATATCGATACAGGCCTGAAACTTGTAGTGATCTTCCTGCCTCAGCCCTCCACATGCTGACTTCAAACAGGTATACCACGCCTGTCTGAGTGTAGTTTTGTTTCTATTTTTTGTCTTGTCTTGTCTTTTGAGGCATGCATCTCTGGCTAGCGTGCAACTCACTATGTAGAGCATCTGGACTTAAATTCACAGAAATTGACCTGCTTCTCCCTTCCCTGTGCTGGGACAAAAGTTTGAGCTACCACACATGACATGAGTTTGCCTTGTTTTAAAGAATTTGTTTTTGATGGGCTGGAGAGATGGCTCAGAGGTTAAGAGCACTGGCTGCTCTTCCAGAGGTCCTGAGTTCAATTCCCAGCAACAACATGATGGCTCACAACCATCTGTAATGAGATCTGGTGCCCTGCTCTGGCGTGTGGGCATACATCGAGGCAGAATGTTGTATACATAATAAATAAATAAATTTAAAAAAAAAGAACTTGTTTTTGGGAAATTTTGAATGGTCTTATTTATAAAGCAATAAAAAAGAATTTGTTTTTGATTTGAAGACTTAACCTATGTATGGATGGGTGCCAGTAGCTGGTGTTTCTGTCTTCTGGTAAACATATAGACAGGAACAGGTTGCTTGTTCAGGGGCATGCTCCTGATGCTGAGCTCCAGCTCCAGCCTTGTGAGGCAACCTCCACGTTCATCTGAATTGAATTCTGTTGTGAATAGCACAGAATGGCACTTGTACACTTTCCTCTTGCAGGTCTCAAATCGACTGGATGCGGTGAAAGAGTTTTTGAAAAACAACACAGACCTCAGAAATGGCCTTACAGAAGACATGCAGAAGCTAGACAGTTTCCATCTACAGCATCAAAAACAAATTTCAAAGGACACTGAGAGTCAGACACCTGAAAGGAAGGCTTGAGGTAAGTTTAGGTTCAGGACATTAAAGAGGGACACAATAGCCTTATCCCTTTGTGTGTTTTTGTATGTGAAGCCATATTGAATCAACAGTCTCATTTGCTTTCCTTGTGCCCTTACTCTTCCAAATGAAGGTTAGGTATGGTGGTTCACACCATTAATCTCAGCATCCGGGAGGCAGAGACAGGTGGATTTCTGTGAGTTCAAGGCCATTCTTTTCTACATTATCCAGGCCAGCCAAGACTACATAGTGAGACCCCCTTCTTGAAACGGACAAACGTAGAAACTTTACCAAGGAAAGGACAGTGGACCAAGAGTTTATTCTCTTATTAACGATTCACATATGCCTGTGAAGCCTCAACTCTGTAGACCTGAAGTCAAGGTCTGCTCTTATGTGACATGGTCAAAAACTACTCTGCCTTCAAATGATACCAGGGTGCCCAGCTTTTACTGTGGCATTAATTGTGCTTGGCTAGTTTCCATAAAAAAGCTGGTAACATAACCAGCTTGTTATTGTTTTTCTGCCAAATAATAAAAATGGAAATAATTCTCTTTTATTTTGTATTGTCCTTTGACAAAATGCAGGCATAATGTGAAAGCCAGTCTGACTTCCAGGTCAGGCATCCTCCTCTGCGCAAAAGAGAAACATTCCCAAAGCACAGGGTTTTTTTGTTTTTTGTTTTTTTTTGTCTTGACCTTTCCCATGATGCTTCAGATATTTTTCCCCCATATTCATCACCTTGGAGTTGTGTGTTGTATGCAGTCAAAAATACTAGTGTTGTGTTGTTTTTTGCTTTCCCCCAGGAACTTTGTGCTGTTGGTTTTTCTGGCTCTGAACCTTTTTACATGGTAATAACTAGGTCTCTGTGAGGGGGTGTTCTGCGTCCTAGCCAAAGTGTACTGTACTCTTCTTGCCTTTGTCGGGAAGTTTTCCTCTGTCAGTGCCAAAATGTGAGCTGGAATGTAGTGTCCAAACAGAAAAATTTTAGTTTATTTTTGCTTCTGATAAAAGGCAAGAGGAAAGTAGCCATTTTCTACCATTTCCCCTAAGTATAGAACTGTTGCTTCTGGACTTGAGTAGCCAGAGGGTTGCCAGGCTGCTCAGTGGCAGGCTAGAAAATAGCTTGACTGAGCCTACAGCAGTGGGACTAGGCTACTGTCCCAGAAAGGATATCTGGAAAAGATTAGTAGGTGTCAGTTTGCTATGGAGTGGGCATAGATGAGAAGTAAACTCCAGTGACACAAGATGGTGCCTATGATCTCAGCTAATTGGAAGGCTGCAGTGGGGGGATCCAAAGTCCTAGGCCAGCTAGGGCAGCTTACTGAGACCCTATCTCAAAATAAAACAAATCATAAAGAAATGGAGGTGTAGTATGATTGTGGGACATGTATTTACCATGTCAGGCCCTTGAGTCAGTCCTCAGCTTCCTTTCCCCAAAAGACAAAGCAAACTTCCCAAACTACTCTTAAGTACTTTTGTCCCCTGTGCCAAGTGCAGGGCCTAGACCTCGTGTGCTGTGACTATTGGTGGAAACGCTACTTATATTCTTAGCTAAGCTGGCTCTTATTCTGTAAAATTAGAAATTTCATCATTCTTTCAGATACTCAAACAAGTCAGTCTCTTTTAATCCATTCATAAATTCACAGCTCTATTCCTTTTTTCCCTCTTTGTCCTATTCTCGAACTGTGCAGAACCCTTGTACCATTGTATGCAGTATTCTGTGGGAGTCAGATTAACTTCCCACTTTTCCTTCTGTCTGCTCATTTCCAAGGTCAATGGCATTAGACTGCTTCGGTCACCTTTGGACTTTACTGTATTCCCAAAACTGCCTACAAGAAATGCTCCATGCCAAGGCTCAGCAAAGATGATTTCGCGCCTTTACCTGATCAGCTGCCTCCCAAGATTGATTCTGCAGAGAGTGGGTGGAGAGAGAGACTGTATTCGGCATGTATTTTGACTGTAGAACCCAAATGAACGTAAATGTGCCTGCAGCGTGGTTATTTCATTTCCTGGTCGCTGTTTGATTTTCAGTCTTATGTTTTCTTTCTTCCTTCATTTGTTCTCCCTTCTCAAGTTACTTGGGAAGACTTCAAGAGTAAAACAAGATTTTGTACTTATTTTGCAACTTTGCCAAAGCAAAAAACCAAACAAACTAATGAAATATCTCCTCCCTTCTAGTCTGGGGTACAAAACATGAAATCTTGATTCACTAACCCATGAAGACCTGGTTTCTAAATGTAGAAAGTTTAGGAGCTGAACTTTTCATTCTACACCCGTGTCTAGTCAGTTTGTCCTTATCAATCCAACACACAGTTATCAAGAGTCAACCCTGTGCCAGACATTGAAGTAGATAAAAATATAAAAAGTGGTGAAGTCATATCTTACTGCTTTTATCTTCCACTCTGACAAACCAAAGGTATTGTTCAGAAAACAATTGATGTTCACCACAGCATTGATACCCAACCACTAGTAGAGAGGACCTACCAAATAAGGCATAGAACATCTGTACTGTGTACTATGCCACATAACAGGTAGAAAGAATAATCCCATGCTACCTTACAATAATGTGAATTGCCTATAAAACATCTTAAGTCAAAAAAACAACTGAGAGGGTGGGATGGAACTCAGTGGTAGGGCACTTTCTTGCCCAGCATACATGTTGCCTTGAATTAGATCCCCGCTCCACTGCCAAAAGCAAATAAATAGAAAAGCAAAGTTTTTAATAGCACCTAGCATGCTACAGTGCTGTTTGTATAATAACTGAGGTCTGGAAAGTCTGTCTGCTGTGTTATGTCAATGAGAGGATTTGGGGCTGCGGAGTAGTCAGAAGAAATTTAGCTTTTGTATTTTGTATATTCTTTTTATAATAAATATGTATTATGTATTTTGAAACTTCTTACTACAGTTGTTAATTTTGAAACAAGACACATGAGTAACATATCTTATTGCAAGCCTTCGGTGTCAGATTCCATGTAATTTGTTGTAGCCTCCTTTTTATGTCTCCACCTCCAGGGGTGCTTCCAAATCCTAGCACCAGGGCAAGAAGCCCAGGAAAGGCATTGCCTTCTGTCTTGGCTGCCTTCATCTCCCTGTGAAATACCTGTCTCCATCCAAAAGTACGCTTTGCCCTCAGCCTCTCCCAGGGACACGGGTGGTCAATAGTTTTGAAAGAACTTGTAGAGAAAAATGACTGAGTCATTATAGTTGCACAGATAAGGTGGGTCCTTAGTTTAAACCTTTTTCTTTAGCAGGAAGTTCATAGAACCGAAGAAAATGTGACATATTAAACTCTGTAAAAACACCTGAATTCTAGGAAATGACTTAAGGGGTGGGCCACCCGTACTAATGGAAAACTAGCTCTGCTAAATCAGAGAGGGTTGCTGGCTTCTGAGAGCAGTGGGAGAGCGCTGAGGATGGTTTTATATTCCTAAGGGTGGGAGGATTATGCCTGAGAGGATTGTGAAATGACTGTTACTCTAATAATGTGAAGAGTTTGTTTTTATTGACATACTGGTTACTTAACATGACTTTAAACACTAGTATCCTAGGTGCTAAAGGGCCAGCTGTCCTAGGTGGGCATGTTAGAAATTAGGTAAATGAGCTGAGTGCCGCATCAAATTAGAGAGGAGAGTTACAGTCTTTTCGATCACTTCTCTAGGCATTTGGCCTCTGACTTTAGAAAATGATCAGCAGAGATTACCTCCTTTCCTTTGCCAGGGTAATTAGAAATTTACCTACTCGGAAAAGCCTTCACTTGACAGCGTCTTTTATTAAAATATATCCAAATTACAAAATATACTTTGTGAGATATGTCTAAAATATTAATTTCTACTCAGGTGAAGTAAAAAACATCCTTTAATGTCTTAATAAAAATCTTAATATAGCCGGGCGGTGGTGGCGCACGCCTTTAATCCCAGCACTCGGGAGGCCGAGGCAGGCGGATCTCTGTGAGTTCGAGGCCAGCCTGGTCTACAAGAGCTAGTTCCAGGACAGGAACCAAAAGCTACGGAGAAACCCTGTCTCGAAAAATCAAAAAAAAAAAAATCTTAATATAGTTTACTTTGTAACTTTAAGGACTTGGCTTGTATTATTGCAACATAGTCTGAGTTATCTACACTATTAAGAGCTGTTTTTAATTTCCAGAAACTTCTCAACCCCATGTTCTGTTATATGCACATTAGTGGTGACCTTAGAACTCTATAAACTGAGCCCTTTGTGACAGGTCTTTCCAAGGTAGGTCTCTATTACTTTATACTGACTTTCAGAAAAGCAGGGTCGTTTTTATTTCAGAACCGGTGTGGCAGGCCAGCCTCCAAAGGTGACCCCTCACTATCCTTACCTTCTGTATTCTACAGTTAACCAGGGTCGGTTTGTGAACATAGCAGAAGTGATGATGCATCACTGCATGTGTAAGCTATAACAGTAAGACTCCATCATCCGTCCTTTGCAAGCACCACTGTGGGGGAAGCCATGCTGTGTCTTTTGGAGATGTCTACAGGAGGACAAGGAACGAAAGACGGCAAACAGTCATGAACCTGGAAATAGATATTCCAGCCGCAGGCTATGCTTCAGAGACCACAAAAACTGTGAGACAGTCTTATTTTAAACTGTTAAATTATGGGGCAGTCGGTTGAACAGCGACAGATAATTGTCGGCTGTCCTGTAATTTATTCCCTACCCTTCACCCTCATATTTAGAATGTGAAAGGGACTTCCTACAAACAAGACTAATGCTTGGATGCTGCATGAGATGAACTTTTCCTGTCTTAGCCAAGAGCTGATGGCGTCAGAACCTGGCAGAAGTGTTTCTAATTCCTTTGCATTTGCAGACTTTGTCAGAAGCAGGTTCAGCACTTCTGAACATGTGTATTGGGTCCCCCAGAAACCACCTAGGCCTCCTATATTCAGCAGAATCCTGAGCAGGGCAAGTTGTGGATCGAACAAGCCTGCCTCTGTGGTGAAATCTCACCCCCAACCTCATCTTCCATCTTTCCAAGCTCTCTGGTTTAAGAAATCGTTGGCACCCGGTGAATTCTAGAGGGTACTCTGAGCACACTGTAGCTGACCAGTGACACTCGCCCCCCATCCCTAGCTAGTTTCCAATTCCCAGGTTAGGCCTAATCAATTTGTAAACTGCTGTGATTTTCTATTTCAAAGGATAAATGGAAAGTATTTCTGAGTGCTTACCTAAAACTCTAGACTGATAGCCACCATTCTGACAATCATCTTCATAGCAGCTCATATAATTGTTCTAGGCCACCAAGAGACACTAGACTAAAATCTAAGCTGGAATTTCACTATATTTATTTAAACCTACTTCTGAATGGTTTCCTCTACAAAAATAGTGTCCTCTCTTTGGCGTTAGGGATTTGCCACTACCAAATTTTAATAAGTCATCTGTGACACCATCACCCTTGTTTGCCCAGGGCACCCAAAAGCCTGCTAACCTAGAGAGGTTTGGTTTGGTTTGGTTTGGTTTTAGCAAAGCTATGAGTAGATGATTTTGTTTTCCTCCTGTCTTCCTCCCTTGTCTAACCCTGACTACCTGGGAAACTTTTTCCCTTCCATTTCACAAAACAGGCAACAATCAAGATCAATTTGATGCTTTTTTTTTTAAATTAACAAAACTGCAGGTTTAAATCAGGTTTACACTGTTTTAGAGTCCAAACGAAAGCTTTCCTTTTTCTTTTTTCTTTTCTTTTTCTTTTTTCTTTTTTTGTTTTTCGAGACAGGGTTTCTCTGTAGCTTTGGAGCCTGTCCTGGAACTAGCTCTTGTAGGCCAGGCTGGTCTCGAACTCACAGAGATCTGCCTGCCTCTGCCTCCCGGGTGCTGAGATGAAAGGCGTGCGCCACCACTACTCTCCTTGGCCTTTCTTTTGGAGGAATAGAATCTAGTGCTTGCAAACAGCAAACTCTGGGTCAGGCTACCCCCCACCCCCAGTCATCAAGCTTTGGCTGGGGGGTTGCTGGCCTTGACCCCCCCAGGTCAAGGTACCATCAGGTACCAGCTGGCCTGCATGCTCTGCACCACCACGTTGGTGAAATGGCGGGCCATCAGCAGATAATTTCGAGGCTGGACCCAGTAGGCAAAGCGCATGAAAGCCATGGAGTAGAAGCCATGAGGGCTGTTGTCATGCGGCCACCGACAATAGCGGGTGGCACCTTCATATCCCTGAAGGCAACCATTGGAAGGCCCCAGTTGGCCACAGGACCCCAGAAGTGGGTGCTAGTTATGTAATCCTGGAACTCCTTGGTCTTCACATATTCTCGAGTTTTCTGCACTAGTGCTGCCACACCTGCCATGGACGCTTCAGACGGAGGAATGCCAATGACGGTCAAGCTGCCAGCCAACAATGGAGCACCAAATGCCGACCTCGTTGCTGACCCTGATGAAGCAACAGCCAGCAGCAGCTTTTGTGCCTCTGCCATAAAGTACGCAGGGTCCCACAGGGTCCACGTGCTGCTCACACACTGCTGCCATGCTCAGCTGATGCGGGTCTATTGGCCTGGAAGGACCTGGCTGCCTGTAGCCCGTCCATCTTCCCATACCTGAACCCACACAGACAGGGCACTGAGGTCTCTACGAGCTACCTAGCCCACTCTCCCCAACTTGTTTCCTCTGGCCTATAACTCCATGGCAATTCAGTTTCTCAACCAGGTACAGAAATTCAGTCTTCAGTAATTTGAAGACATAGTATCATTTTACCCCTAAATATTTTAGCATCTGTCTTTTAGGAACAAAGGTATTTGTCTGCCTAGCTACAATGCCATTATCCACTGATAAATATGCAGGTCTGTATACAGCACTGTTAGCTGGTAGTCAGTACATAGTTACTGTTAGAGCTTGATGGCTGCCTTTGTTTCTGTTTCTCTCATTCTTGTTAGAAAGAACAAATTCAAAAGCCAGTCAGAGTTCACATTTGATTTATACCTGGGCTTAATCTCCTTTAATCTAGGACAGTTTCCCACCCACTCCTTTTTGTCTTGTGTAGAAACATTGATATTATTAAAGAGTCTAAACTACTGACTTCTCAGAATGTCCTTAATTTGAATTTGAATTTGTGGGCTTTTTCATAACTCATTATTCTTGTTTTTATAAAACAAGAGCACCAATTATATTGTCTTTAGTACATTATTAGGAAGGCACTTGGTGTCACTGTGCTCCATCATTGTGGAACCTGGGTACTTGATTACAGAGTTGTCTAACAATTTCTCCATTATAAAGGTTTTTCCCCCTTCATTAATCAACAGATAATCTTAGGATGCACTTTGATAGTATATGGGCACCCTATTCTCCAACAACTTTCCGTAATAAATTTTTGTCTGTTAATGAAAAATCTTTAAAAGACTTACTTTATTTTATGCACATGTGTATATGTATATTTATGTGCCTATTGTGTGATGGGCCTGTGGAGACCAGAAGAGGGTTTCTGATCCCCTGGAGCTGGAGTTATGGGTATTTGGGAACTAAATTGAGGTCCTCTGGAAGAGTGGCAGGCACTCTTAACCACTGAACCACCTCTCCAGTCCCACTGAAAATGACAAACTTTGTGGCTATTTTCCCAATGATTTTACTTTGTATAGTTAAAAAAAGGGCAATTGTTGGGCTAGAGAGATGGCTCAGTGGTTAAGAACACTTGTTACTCTTGCAGAGGACTTAGGTCCAATTCCCAGCACCCACATGGCTTTTTGTAACCTTCTGTAATTCCTGTTCCAGGGGATCTGAAACCCTCTGGCCTTCAAGGACATAAGGCACACACATGTTGCACATATATGCATGTAGGTAAGATACTCATACATATAAACATAAAATACATCCTAATTTTTATAAATAGCAATTGTTGAAAAGTAATTGCATATGCATTAAAATACTAATACCTTCTGTGGTGATTTACAAACAAGGAACCTTTAAAATGAATGTTATTTGTGTAAGCACCCAGCATTGTTCTTTAAAAGGGAAGGACATATAACCTGTTTTTCCAGAAGGCTGGGAATTATAGGTGATCAATAGCCTGGTGATCTGCATTATTTGTTGGGCCAGGCCT